TGTTTATTTAATGATAAGTGAGATATTCAAACCGCATTTCTAAGAGAGAACAGTAAGGTACCAAACTGAGTATATTGTGTTACTGTTTGTGTATAAAAGGAAAAAAGGAACTCAGAAGAAATGAGAAAGGACTGCTTGGCTATTCTTGGTACCCAAAACTTCAGATTTCCAGGAATCATTCTGCTCCCACATGTGACATAATGGAAAAGGCTGTCTTTGTTAGGGTGACATATTTCTCAATTCCTTGGTGGGCTGGAGAAAGAACGGACACATTCTTGTGCTTTGAAGGAGAGTGAACCATGGATGCTGACCGACTTGGTGACAATATTCTGGTGCAGATAAAAACTGTTAAGATACTCTTCAAATATAACAGCAGAGGTTTTTTTTTTTTTTTTTTTTTTAAACATAGTGGTTCGTTCTTAAATGAAAATTTTTAAAAAGGAATAACACTTGGAAAGTAATTACTTTGATGAATCAGTAGAGTGGTATGATTTACTCATATGATCAATACACATCCATACTGAGTCAAAGTTGGGAGGGGCATCCCAGACCCAGGAAGGTCCCCAGGCTATGAGGCTGGGTCAGGGATCTTTAAATGAACCTTCCCAGCAGAGGGAAGGTGAAACCATTTGTGGGTTTTGTTCCCAGTTTCCTGATGGCTGTGGGGTGTGGCTCCTTGGAGACAGGTTTAACTTCACCAAGTCAGACAATAAGTGTACTGAGAGCCACATGTGCCCAGCACTGGGCAGTGTCCCAGTTGACAATGACACTGAAACCACAGCACTTCTTTTCACCTGGCTCTGGGATTTTAGAAAAAGGGAAAAGAATAACACGACCAAAATATACCTAGTCTAATGACCCTGATGTACTTTAATTATGTTATTCTTAGAACATCAGTCTTTTTCTTGAAAAAAATTAGCCTTAAAATTATTTTTTCTCTGTATGAAAAGGGCAAAAATTTAACTGAGAAGAAGTGTCTAGTCCAGATTTCCTGACCTAACCTTAAACAAGTACTGGATTACAAGTTCTGTTTGGAAGGTGCGTACTTTCCTAGAGTCCTCCAGGCTCTCCGAACAACCTGACCTGCCCCGGTGTGCACAGCATGTGTGAGCAGAGACCTGACCTCAAGTTCTAGCTGCCAGGTTGCTCTCTGAAAGGCTCACCTAGACAGTCCAGAAGCTGCTAAGTCACACAAGTGTTGGTTACTTTGAAAGGTTCAATCTTGGCTACTGGCCTGTAAGACTTTCTTTCATAGAGAAATGCTTTCAAAGAGGAAGGGAAGCATCTGAAATCGGATCCTAAGAGGAAAATAGTAAAAACAGGCAGGTTTTTATGAAACTGTCCATATTGGAGCCAAAGCTTTGACCACTTCTGCAAAAGGAATGCTTTTCTTTGCTATTTTCTTCCCGTTCGCCAATGGATTCTAGGATTCCCTTAGAAACGTGTCCTTTACGCGCCTTGAGAGGCTTGTGTCTCTTATGATGTAGATGTGGAATGAGGACACGTCAGCGCACCCTCATGCGTACTTGGGGGATTCAACGTGGCCACGGGGCTGGCTTCCAGGGCCCCTGGCTCTGTGGGCGGGGAGCAGCATGTAAGGGTGGGTTGGTGGCATTTTGTTGTCTTTTCTACGTAACTCTTTTAAACACATATTCTAAGGGAAGCTTGTAAAGGTGGTAATTCAATTCCTAGAAGAAATGAGATAGTGTTTACGCATCTCGTGTTTTAGTTTTACCAACTAGAACGTTTGCCTGGAGGTGAATTCTTCAGCCCAGTGGACACTAATCTGACTGTTTTCAGGACGTAAGAACATTGATGCAGTTGGCAGCATGAGCTCTTATTTCTTTCTGGAATTGCTCGACAACCAAAAGAAAGTGAACAGAGCCTGCATTCAACATCGTCGGACCGAGGTCCTGTGAATGCAGCGGCGTGCTGGCCCATGTTTATGACTCCGGGTTTGCAAGGACTTTTATCCCGCACTGGCTGCATAGAGCATGGTGGTGGCTGGCCGAGAGGAGCAGCTGAAATCTGCTACTGATGTAATATCACTTCATTAAGCACATAACCTTCTATTTTCCTGTCAGCTGTCTTTGTTGACCAGACGCTCAAAGCTAATGCTATTTTTATGAAAGCTAAGGCTTCATTAGAGCACCTCTTTTTGGGTGATCAGAACAGGGCTTTCCCCTCGAGCACTAGGGCTCACCTCCCCCAGGAAGGCTTGGAGTGGCTGTGTCTGCATTTGGAGACGGAGGTTTCTCCAAACTCCGAGCCCCCGTATAAGATTGGCCAAGTGATGCAATGACTCCAGGGCTCATGGTGGATGCCCAGCGTCTAGACCAGCTATAGCTCCAAAGAGAGTTCTAATAGCCAGTGACTGAGGATCATGCACAACTCTCTTTCTGCTACAAATGCATTGTTAACGCGAGCGTGTACAGTATTCTGTTCTTGGCAACTTTGGCCAACATTTCCTTTGTTAATCCTCTTGGCTGCCAGACGTTGCTCTGCGCCTAATACTTGTTCTTACAAACTATTCTTTCTAGTGTATTTGCCCTATTCTTTTTTTTCCTCAAAATTTTTAAATGTTTTTTTTTATTTATCTCTGAGAGAGAGAGAGAGAGACAGCGTGAGCAGGGGAGGGTCAGAGAGAGAGGGAGACACAGAATCCAAAGCAGGCTCCAGGCTCTGAGCTGGCTGTCAGCACAGAGCCTGATGCAGGCTTGAACCCACAAACCATGAGATCATGACCTGAACCGAAGTTGGATGCTTAACCGACTGAGCCACCCAGGCGCCCCTGCCCTATTCTAATATGTAAACCTATTCACAAGTTGAATATGATTGTTACGAAAACAAAATGCTCTAGGAGTTATTGAATACAACATTTGATTTTAGCCAAACTCACTGGTGAGAAGTAGGCTTGAAATCCCCGTTATAAATAATGATCATCTAAGTTGGTGAGATTGTGTTCCTGTAATTACTAAATGGAAGGTACTTATCACAGACTAGAAAACAGTCTTGCTCAGGAGGAGGGAAACCAAATGACATTACACTGAATGCTCCCAGAGTGCTGGCTAAATCATTTAGACGGTTCTGGCTAAATCATTTCCTGTTCTGAGTAGGTATTGTCTGAACCAGGGTGCAGCTGGAAGGTGGCCCAAGTCCAAAGGCAGACGACAGTGGTATAAGTTCCAAAACGTATAAAAACTGGTAAAGAAAAAATAGACACAACAAGCCAATAGGAGCACAAATAAAGTAGGTGAGCAGACACTGAAAACAGAGTTCAAAATGGTCAGTCAACGCATGAATAAACACTTGACTATCATCGTGGTTAATGACATACAAATTAAATCCATTATGAGACATTGTCTTTCATTTACTAATTTGGTTGAGATTTAGAAGCAAGCTAACTCTTAGGGCCAATGAAGGTTAAGTGATCTGTGGTGGGCAGAAAATAACGCAACCATTACACAGGACGATTTGACAGCACACATACAACTCAAAGTGGACGTATTTGAACTCAGCAGTTCCACTGATAATCGTGTGACTCACTCAACAATGTGCAAGACTGTGTACTCATTGTTCACAGGAATAAAATAATGGCAACAAGCTACGTGTGTGTCAATAAAGGGTTAATAACTATGTGATGGTGAGCATCCCCTGTGGGAATACGTTCTCATTCCAACTGCAAAACACATCTGGGGTGTGGCCACTGCTGGCCCCTCTACCACCGTCCTGGTGCCCAAGTCCGGTCCACAGGATGGCTCGCCCAGTTGGCCTTCCTGGTTCTACTTCTGTGAACCTGAACTATATCACCTGACCCCAAAACGACAATTCACACTTACTGGGATGAAAAAGTTTAGGTTCACTGCTGAGTGTCAGTTCTAGACTTCTACAGAGTTTCTACCTCCTTCTCTCCTCTCTCTTCCCTTTTCAGGATCCTAAAGGGCACACAAAAAGTCTGTTACACAAAACATGTATAATGTTAATTCCCCACTGAGTTGTTTGACGCTATTTTTAAAGTGGCTGAAGTCAATTGCATGTTGTCATGGACACTTCTATAGGAAAAAATAAGTGTGTGACTGATGAGTGTGATTTGACTCCTATTTTTGGAAAAACTTGCCTTAAGTTCCAAGTCCTGAAACATGTAGCTGGGGTCAGAAGGGCGTCCACTGCCGTTGGTTCCTGGGGTCGGTCTGGGACTTCTCTGGTTGTGTGAAGAAGGGCATCTGTCCCAGCGAGGCCGGCTGGGAGAAGCAGCCCCTGCCGGGCTTGCCGTGGCCCCAGAGCGGCTGTGAACTCTGGTTCTGCTTTGCCATGGTCACCTGCTCATTCTCCGGCACAGTTGTGTGTCATGTGCACCGAGCATGTTCTGTTGGTGGTGGAGGTGGCTGCAGTGGGGGCCAGTGCACGGAACTCCCAGGAATGTGGCTGCTTCCGTGTGGAGACCCGAAGCCACAGATAGCTGCTCTGACTCTCCAGATGCGCAAGAAGGACCGACATTGCTTCTGTGTTATCTTTTGGCTTATTTTATTTCGACTTCGTAAACTCAGCTATTATCTAACATAAAACCGTTTGGGGTTGTAAAAGTGTATGGTGTGCTCATTTTCCATTAAACAAATGTTACTAAGAAACATAAACTTCTGTTTTTTTATGCGTGTAAAAACAGTCTGGCTCCAGGCCTCTCCTCCATTCCCCCCTGCTCTCAGCCTTCAGCTGCCCTGCACTTACAACGGTCCCATGGGCCTCGAGGGTCATTCCCACCTGCCGGCCCTACACGCTGCCCCGTGCAGGGTGCCTCGTGCACTTCACGTTTGGGCCCTGCCCAGCAGCTCTCTCGTGAAGCCCCCCCCCCGCCCCCCTCCCCCGGTCTGGAGGGAACTCTCCCTGTATGGTCTTATCCAAACGGATTTATGTCAGTGAACATGCCCCCTCTCTCGCCCTCTGGGATGTGTGCTCTTCGAGAGTCTGGAGAAATGTTTTTTGTTCAACACACTCACCCTGCACAGCACCTGACACGGTGCCTTGCTGGTAGCCCTTGGTGGTGCCAGGTTGCTGGGGAAAAGGACCCGACGGCCTCGGAAGGACTCTTTTCAATACGGCATCTAGACACACAAGAACATGGATGGGGATGACAGCTGGGGGCCGGAGGGGCCCTCGCCTTGGTGACCTCTGGGTAGGACTTCCTTGTTCTAGAAGGAATTGCCTTTATTGTACCCAATAGTCAGAAACTAAAGGGTCATCCCTGTGGGACTCCTGAGGTGCACGAGCAGCGCAAGGTCAACAGCCAACTGGGTGTCAGGCCAAGAGCAGCACCTACATGTGGCTCAGTTGTTTGCAGACGTGAGGGTGGCGGGGAAGCACCCCTCCCGCAGGCCCTGGGGGCTCCGCGTGGGGCAGGTCACATAGAATCCCGGGCATTTGCCTGTGAATGAGTTTCTAAGTGGATTTTGATGCAGATCAAAGCTGAAACGCATCCCGAGAGGCTCCAAGGGCCGCCGTCCCGCTGGGGGCCTCTGCCCGGGGCCAGGGCGGCCTCCGTAGGCGTCCCTCCACCCCAGACAAGCCCGCGGGCTCCCCCGGGCCAAAGGCCACCTACCCGTGGCCACGCAGGCCGTCCGGGAGAGAAGGGGCTGAACCAGGCTCGCCCTTCGAGTTCTCCCGTGTGGGTGTTTGTGCTCTGTGTCCACTGCTAACAGGAAGCCGCAGCCTCCGAGTCCAGTCATCGCCCCGACCTAGGGTGGAGACCTGGTCCCCGGAGCCCAGAACCGGGACTCGCGGCCGCGGCCTCGGGGCCAGCCCCTCCGGCCCCCCAAGCTCGCGGCCCCCCAGGCCCGCTCCGGCTTCGGGCCGCCGAAGACCGACGCAGAGGAACGCAGTGGGACGGCCCTGGCCCAACCTGGGGAGACGCTCGGCACTAAGTGACCCGGGCATCGTCTCCACGGGAGGAAACGGCGGCCAAGCTCTGCTGCGACGCTCTGCAGCGGAAACCGGGTTCTCGGAAAGCCAGGGCGCGTCCCCGGGGAGCCGCAGCCAGACCCCCAGGCCTTCCGCAGCGGGTGGGGGGGGGGGGGATTCCTCGAATCAACAGTAGCAGGGTCCGAGGGGAGGGCAGCCGGGAGGGGAGTAGTTTTGCTGATATTTATCTATTTGTTTTCCCTGTAGAACAAACTGTGTTTTGTGTCTCTTTTATAAACTAACACAGCTGTGCTGCAGGCAGTGTAGACTTGGGGGTGCCCGGCGTTCAGCGCATCCGCAGCCATTCCAGGAAGCTCCTTTGGGACCATCCAGCCTGGTGTCACCTGCCAGTTAAACAAGCCAAGAGGCATGTGCGGCAAAGGAGCTGGTGTGTGATGGCCAACTGCATTCATTAACCACCGTGAAGTAGACCCATGTCCAGGATACTAAAATTATGGTACCAATAAAACAGTGCATTCGAGGATGCAGGGCGGGCCATGCAAATCCGCCTCCAGACCCGTGTCTCCTGTGCCCTTTGAACCGGTTAACATATTTGAGTGGCCCATACCAGACAGGAAATAGCTATGGTTTCCTGTTTGGCTCAGAGTACGCCTCCTTCTAAAAATGCTAGTGCCAACGACTCCTACTTCCTCGTATTTCTGGGCACCTGCCTTGATCCTTTTATTAAAGTGCTTTTATGTCTAAATAAACATTCTCCTTTGTTTACTGTTCCCTTTCTTTTATTGCAACCGGTCTGCACGCAAATCTACCATCGATCGCCACCTGCCAGGTGATGGCAGTGTGCAACCTCTAAACGGATGCTTTACCAATTCCAAGGGCTAAGTGGCAGTGAGGGCTGCTAGACACCATGGAAGAAAAGAGCCAGCAACTGTGCTGTGATGTTGCTGGGATTGGAGGCAAACATACATTTCCCACAAAGCACTATGTTTTTGCTGCCTCCTCCCCCTTTACTCTTCCTTTACGGAAATTTATCTCCAATCAAACTTCCTTTTATAGACACCCTAGGCGGGAGCCATTCCCAGCTGCCTATAATGCCTAATTGCCCCAGGCACCTTGTATGCAGGTGGGAGAACTCTCACCCCCTCCCCCCCCCATTCATGGCCCCTCTTTCATTGGAGACATGGATCTACTTCTCTGTAGTTGGCTCATGGTCACATTCCTACGTCCTGGATTTCTCTCCTATCTCCTCCCACCTTACAGCTGCCTGTCGTCTATCAACCCCACCTCTGAGGAGTACTTCAAGCGCAGACAACAGATCAAATTCAATGCAATATTGCCACCTCTTTGTTCTTTAAAAATTTGTTGGAGGGGCGCCTGGGAGGTTCAGTAGGTTGGATGTCTGACCAGCTCAGGTCAAGATCTCATGATTTGTGAGTTCTGGCCCCGCGTCAGGCTCTGACGTGGAAAAAAGCCAATCCCAAAGGGTTGCATCCTGTGTGATTCTGAACGGAGAAAAGACGTAACATTGTGAAATGAGAAAGATACAGAAATGGAGAACAGATTCGTGGCTGCCAATGGCTGAGAGGGTGGCGAGGGACCAGAGGCAAGTGGATGTGGCTAAAACAAGCAACATGGAGGGTTCTGGTGGGGATGGAAATAGCCTGTATCTTGACTACATCGATGTCAATGATCTGGGTTGGTATTATTGAACTGTAGTTCAATATAGATGTTGCCATAATTTGCTGTATAAACAAGTTGTATAAACAGTGTTTCTTTCTGGACTCTTCTGTTCTGTTGGTCTCCATGTCTTTCTTTATGCCAAAACCATGCTGTTCTGATTATTGCAATTTGGTGGTATGTTCTGAAATCAAGAACTGTGAGGCTTCCCACCTGGTTCATCTTTTTCAAGATTATTTGGCTATTCAGGATCTTTGAGATTCTTTATAAATTGTAGGATATTTGTGTTTATCTCAACTTTGCTGAAGCCGTTTGTTACCTCTAACAGATATTTTTGGTAAACTTTAGAGTTCTCCATATATGAGACTGTGTCATTGATGAACAGAGATAATCTTGCTTTTTAATTTTCAATTTGGATGCTTTCCATTTCTTTTTATTGACCAATTGCTGTGGCTAGGACTTCCAGTGCTGTCTTGAATAGAATTGGTGAGAGGGAGTATCCTCGACTTCTTCCCGATCTTAGAGGAAAATCTTTCAAGCTTTCACCACTGAGTAAGATGTTAGCTGTGATCCTTTCATATATGGCTTTTTTTTTTTTTAATGTTGAGGTGGTTTCTATTCCTAGTTCTTGAGTGGTTTCTTTCTTTCTTTCTTTCTTTCTTTCTTTCTTTCTTTCTTTCTTTTTCTTTCTTTCTTTCTTTCTTTCTTTCTTTCTTTCTTTCTTTCTTTCTTTCTTTCTTTCTTTCTTTCTTTCTTTCGATGAAAGAATGTTGAGATTTTTCCAGTGCTTTTTCCCCATCAGTTGAGATGATCCTATAGTTCTTTTTTAAATGTTTATTTATTTTTGAAAGAGAGAGAGACACACACACAGCATGAGCAGGGGAGGGACAGAGAGAGAGGGAGACAGAATCTGATTACGTGTGCCTGTATAATTCCCTGTCCTCAAGATCCTATGAGCTCTTCCTCCACCTGGTGTCTATTGTTGGTACTGCAGTTTCCCTGGTTCAGCGCGGGGCCACCTTTATTCTCGGAGGACCCCACCTGGCATCTGTGTGGTACCCGTGTTCCCCTCAGCACAGCAAGTCAGTGAGGTGGAAACCAGTGCCTGCGTCAGGGCTCAAATATTCCAAACATTGATGCACATTCCATCCTATCTTCCTCCTGAGAGAAGGCCAGGTGTTTAGAGCTTTCTCCCAACTGTGCTTCATGATTCTGGGAAGTAGTAGAGACCAGGGTGGGCAGAGGAAAGGACTTTCTCACCTGCTTGTTTGCTTTGTGCTCCCCTGGAGCACTTTAGCCGCTCGTCTGGTGTCCGAAGCTCTCACAAAGATCGTTTAGTCCCTAGACTGTTTGTAAGCTACTATCTTTACAGGAGAATGAAGGCCTGGGACTTCCCGCTCTGCTATCATGATGGTCTCAACCTAAATTCTGATACGTTTATTTTTTTCTTTTTTAAATTGCACTTCATATATTTCATTTTCTACACTTAGGAAAGCAATATATCTTATTTGTATTATTCTGAATATATCTCCAACTTAGATGCAATTTTTCCCAATAACTTCAAAAGCTTATAAATATCTATAGTTTCACCGTGAATGAAAGGATTACTTCATTATGCTCATACCTCTTTCTTCTATCTCCTGGTACTCACCAGGTTACTATTTTGCTATTTTTCAAAATTTTATTTTATTTACTATTTATTTTTTATTTTGAAGTGACTTTGCCATTTAGAAGTCATCTATAAACTAGTTTGATTATAAATAGCTCTCAATTAAAAGATCACATTCATTAATTTATAAAATATACATATTAATGCTTCTTATACGTACAATAACTAGAAAAACCATTCACAAAATAGTAGAAATAAAAATCAGGTTATAGCTATGGATTAAGTGTGTTTCTTTCCTGCCAACCTGGGATGCAGAGGGTCCATTTTGGAAAGTTCAGTAAATTTTCCCAGGTTATTTGTGGATCACTTTCTTAATTACATGAATCATATTGCATTGCTTCTTTGAAAATGTATTCATCAGTTTCTTGAAATATTTGTGGTTTCTTTTAATGTTTATTTATTTTTGAGAGAGAGCACGCACAAGTGGGGGAGGGGCAGAGACAGAGGGAGATGCAGAATCCGAAGCAGGCTCCAGACTCTCAGCTGTCAGCACAGCTCACGTGGGTCTTGAACCCACAAACGATGAGATCATGACCTGAGCCGAAGTGGGACACTTAACCCAATGAGCCACCCAGGCGCCCCTTTTAAGGGTGTTTTCAATGACAGTTTCAACTGCAAATTCCCACACCTTTAGTCTGCATGACTGAAAATGTTTTATTCTACCTCCAAATTTAGCTGGTAGCTTAACTAGATATAAATTATGTGTTCACGTTTTCATTTAGAAAGAAATTGACTCCATTTGCATTTTTGCATGTCATATTGCTGCTAAGAATTTTGATGTCAACCTGAATTTTTCTTTTTTTCCTTTTTTTTAATGTCAGGAAGCTTTCTGAATTCTTT